TCCAACACCTGCTCCCTCGCCAACTGCTTTCGTGCCACTTCGCGTCGTCCCAATTCTACTCCTGATCGTGCGTCTGCTGCTGTCATTCCTGCTTGTAGCCTTGGTTCCAAGGTCGGCGGTCCTTCGTCTACGGATCCTCGTGCTCCCACGGATCTTGACCGTCGCGAGCTGTCCGACCAGCGCCTTCTCCCTGCGTGCTCGCGTTCAGCTGACCAAGCTTTCAATATTCTCCCACTGTCTCTCAAACAGATGCGTGATCTCGTCTGTCCCGCAGAGAAGCTGTTCGAAGCTCTTGTCTCAATGGTGTGTCTTCACCATGCGGAGGTGCCTCTCTCTCGCCGCCATTGTCCTGCCGCTCCCCGGCATGCCTACCGTGGATCTGCAGCTGCACGAAGTGCAACTGCACTATGCCCCTGCTACCACTGACGCGCGAACCATCAGGAAAAGACAGGAGGAACGGTGAGAACGAGGACTCATTTTCCTCCACGCGCAAAGACTCCCTTGGGCCAAAGGGGGCGCTTACGGATAGACACCGTGAAACCAACCCGAAACCAGTTCAAGCTCATTGCCGAAATATATCACATAATGAACTCAACTTCTCAGTTATAGCAGAATTGGTATGCATGTGTGGAAAATGACCACGTAATCTTCACGGGTGACCTGCAGAAGTTGTACCCCAACCTCGATCATGATGGCATCCTCCTTGGGCTCCGTTCGAGGACCATGAAGTTTGATCAACATTCACGGTTCGCCTGAGTTGTTGCAGACATCCTTGAGCGCTCGTCATGGAAAACCAGGTTGCATAGATTGCACCTCATCGTCCAGAGGATCGGTTCAGGATTGTCGCCAAGAGTAATGACTGCAAACATTTACCTCGAGCCCCTGGATTCCCACATCTTACAGCATCTCCCCACAGACAGACACGGGCAGGTTCATGGACTGTCTGTTGCTGATCATGAACAGACATTTAGCGAGCAGGGTGAAGCAGCTTGTCGACAATCACCTCCCCAACGTCATCATCGATGACATACGGTACGGTACCGAATCGGTGTCGTATTTGGACCTCAGCCTCGGCACCAGTGGGAGGAAGCTCACCTGGCAGCGATACAGTATATATGATGCTAAATATGCGTATGTAGAAACATTCGGCGCACCCGCGGCCAATCTTCCGAGGTGTCGTCGAAGGTCTCGTGCTCCGCTGCCTACGCAAATGTAAGCACCAACGTGACGCCATGAAGCACATCTCTCTGTACGTCAGCGTTGCCAGGATCGTGGTTACGACCCCGAGCTGATTCGAGCCGCCGTGGAAAGGCAGATGAGGAAACATCGCAAGCAAAGACTAAGCTTTACATGCGCGCGGCCTCCACGCGCCAAGCACGCAAGTTTCTTTGTCAAACACACCTCTGGCCTTAATTCAAACGCTTTGCGGAGAGTCCTGGGCATCATCCCCAGCAGTCGCCGTCCCAGACTGGCGATGGGAGTGAATATTTCACGTGTACAATTGGCCTCATTAGGCCAGCAGGGTGGGTGGGAGCAAGGGGTTTTGAAGCCCCCACTGTACACTGCATCTCTCCGCTCCGCCTCCAGTCCCATCGTCGACGTTGCTCGTTCGATGCTGCACCGTAGGCAGTTGGGCTCGAAGAGCCCCTAGGGGGCGAAACGCGTAGCCTAGTTTTCATTTCGCTTGAGACTCGATCGAGAACGAGTGATCGAGACAGCTTGCGGTGGTCCAGTTGGGATCTTGACCTATCCCCGTACCACCTACCCTGGGCATGTACGGGCGGAGGGGGCGGCGACACGCGTTATCGATAGAGAGAGAGAGAGAGAAAGAGCATATACGTAAGATGTTCCAAGATGGGCCGAGATGGATCCAAGATGGCCCCTGGTAGCCCAAGAGGGCCTCCAAGATGGCATACCATACCCCGAGATGGCCCCCAAAAGACCGCAAGACGGCTCCAAGTGGACACGGAAGTTCCAATGAGCACCTCCGAGAGCCCAAGATCCCTTGGGGTGGCATCACTCCACGGCGCCTGAACAGACGCGGTGGGCGAGCAAAGCAAACAGCAGTCCCTCCCGCGCAGCGCGCGCTGCGCGGGGAGGGGCGGTCGCATCCGAAAGAACCCAGTGCGCGGGCGCGAGGCGACGGTACCCCTGCATGCGCTGCACGTTGGCGCCGCCGCGAAGTTCGTGGCACCCCACAAGACGACCAGGACACCTCTGGACCCCCAGGGGGGATGCGGGGACAAAAAAATAGCCTGGCGAAAGACCCAACCATATGCAGTTGTGAATGCCGCAATTGTGCTGGGTGGTGGCGGACGCATGCGGGCGGTGCCACTGGGACCTTCGGTGGAGCTCCCTATGGGGCCACGAAACGCTGTACTGGGTGGGCGAGACGCGGTCAGCAAGGGCTGTGCTGCGTGGTGGCGGACGCATGCGAGCGGTGCCACTGGGACCTTCGGTGGAGCTCCCTATGGGGCCACGAAACGCTGTACTGGGTGGGTGAAACGCAGGCAGGGAGCAAGGGCTGTGCAGGGTGGTGGCGGACGCATGCGGGCGGTGCCGCTGGGACCTTTGGTGGAGCTCCCTATAGGGCTACGAAGCGCTGTTCTGGGTGGGTGAAGCGCAGGGAACAAGGGCTGTGCTGGGTGGTGGCGGACGCAAGCGGGCAGTGCCACTGGGACCTTTGGTGGAGCCCCCTATGGGGCCACGAAACGTGCGAGGGGTGTGCCAGAATGGGGTGCGGAACCGCATGCCAGCGCAGCCACTGGGGCCTTCGGTGGAGCTCCCTATGGAGCCACGAAACGTGTGAGGGGTGTGCCGAAATGGGGGGTGGAACCGCATGCGAGCGCAGCCACTGCGGCGTTCGGTGGAGCTCCCTATGGGGCCACGAGACGTGTGAAGGGCGTGCCGAAAAAGGGGGTGGAACCGCATGCGAGCGCAGCCACTGGGGCCTTCGGTGGAGCTCTCTATGGGGCCACGAACCGTGTGAGGGGTGTGCCGAAATGGGGGGGGAACCACATGCGAGCGCAGCCACTGGGGCGTTCGGTGGAGCTCCCCATGGAGCCACCCACGAAGCGTGTGAGGGGTGTGCCGAAATGGGGGGTGGAACCGCATGCGAGCGCAGCCACTGGGCGTTCGGTGGAGCTCCCTATGGGGCCACGAAACGTGTGAGGGGTGTGCGAGAATGGGGGGTGGAACCGCATGCGAGCGCAGCCACTGGGGCCTTCGGTGGAGCTCCCTATGGAGCCACGAACGTGTGAGGGGTGTGCCAGAATGGGGGGTGGAACCGCATGCGGGCGCAGCCACTGGGGCCTTCGGTGGAGCTCCCTATGGGGCCACGAAACGTGTGAGGGGTGTGCCAGAATGGGGGGTGGAACCGCATGCGGGCGCAGCCACTGGGGCCTTCGGTGGAGCTCCCTATGGGGCCACGAAACGTGTGAGGGGTGTGGGGAACCGCACGAAACGTTGAGGGGTGTGCCAGAAGCGTGTGAGGGGTGTGCCAAATGGGGGGTGGAACCGCATGCGGGCGCAGCCACTGGGGCCTTCGGTGGAGCTCCCTATGGGGCCACGAAACGTGTGAGGGGTGTGCCAGAATGGGGGGTGGAACCGCATGCGGGCGCAGCCACTGGGGCCTTCGGTGGAGCTCCCTATGGGGCCACGAAACGTGTGAGGGGTATGCCGAATTGGGGGTGGAACCGCATGCGAGCGCAGCCACTGGGGCCTTCGGTGGAGCTCCCTATGGAGCCACGAAGCGTGTGAGGGGTGTGCCGAAATGGGGGGTGGAACCGCATGCGAGCGCAGCCACTGGGGCCTTCGGTGGAGCTCCCTATGGGGCCACGAAACGTGTCAGGGGTGTGCCAGAATGGGGGGTGGAACCGCATGCGGACGCAGCCACTGGGGCCTTCGGTGGAGCTCCTTATGGGGCCACGAAACGTGTGAGGGGTGTGCCAGAATGGGTGTGGGAGGAGGAGGAGGGGGGAGGAGGGAGGGAGGAAGGAGGCGGGCACGCGGGGCACCGTCTCTTCAAAACGAGGACCCAACACCACAGGATGGTTGGGAAAAATTGTTCAAAGAGGTTTGCCTTCCCGCTCTTTCGATCCTGATGGGCTCCCAAGGCCTCAGAGTGGCCCCAGTGGCCCCCGAGAGCCCCAGAAGGGACCCATAAAAGGGCTACGGGATTGAGAGGTAACGATAGGTGGACCAGCTGAGGGGGGGAAACATCGACCAGGAATCGGCGAGACATCGCCAATGGATCGACGACAGGCTCCCGATAGCGAAACCGAACCGGCAGTCCTCGATAGCGAACCCTCCCAGGGCCTATCCCCCCCTGTCGTTGCCAATGAGGGACGGCCCCCAAGGAACGTCAACAGGGACGGCCCTTCGGGCTTCGACGGAGGGCCCAGAATCCCAGAAGTCTCTCGAGGCCTCAATGAGCATCGTTCAAACGATCCCTATCCCCACGGGCGTGGCCTGGGCCACACTCGCCGATGTACCCCCCCAGATGAGGCCCTCGATGGGGATATAGGCTGCTCCCTTCGAATTTCGAGGGGTATACCCCAAACTCGGTGGTGGGAGGGTGGGAGTCGGGCTTGGGATGGGGATGCAGATAGGGATCAATTAAACGATACTGACCAAGAGAGCCCCAGAAGAGGCCCAGAAGGGCTCCAGGACGGCCCCCGAGAGCGGCCAAGAGAGCGCCCAAGAGAACGCTCCCAGGGACGGCTCTCCGGTTTTCTCTCCGGCACTCTGGCAGGAGCCCTCGGCCCCAGCCCCGCACACCCTCCTCGGCTACATGCAAGAGTGACCATGGGCAAGAGTGACCTATGGTGCGCGGCGGCAGGGGGCCGCGAAGGGCCCAAATCCGAGCGCGCGGGCAATGCTGGGGCCACCCCTGTGGGCCCGCACCCAAAGTCACTCCGGCGAAAGGTCACTCTTCGCGTAGCCGACCTCACCCCTCTCCGCCCACCCTCGGACGGCGCCCGTGCCAAGGCCCCGCCGGCCTTGTGGAGCCGCTTCCGGGGGCGGTCCTGGGCCGCCTAGCGTCGCCATCGGCGAGGACGACGACGGCGACGACGACGAGAACGAGAACACTGAGGGCGACGAGGACGAGGACGGCGACGCGGGCGGCGACGAGGGCGGCAACGACGACGACGACGACGACGACGACGACAGCCGCGGCGGCGGCGGCGGCGGCGGCGGCGACGACGAGGACGTCGGCGTCGCGGGCGAGGTGGAGGGTCAGGGATACTAAGGGCGCGAGCGGTCCTGGACAGGGGGAGAAGGAGGATCATGACGCAGGCTCGTGCCGTGACATCAGAAGCGTTGCTTGCCGACACCGCGTGGATCGCTAGACCCTGAACGACCGTGGCTTTCCGATAGCGAAGCCGTTTCAATGTCGGCCGATTCTGGGCCAGCGGCGGCCTTCAACCGTGAGCGTCCGCGCCGGGGTCGCCGCCGCCGCGTCGAAGTCGCGCAAACCTGCCGCAACTTCGCGATTCGCGCTGGACGCAGGGCGCGATCACGTTCGCGACCTCGAGCGGCCCCTCTGGAGAGAAGGGGGACTCTCCTGCCCAGACTGCGAAGCGCAAAGAGGCACGTCGCTTCACGCGTCTGCGGGTAACTTCGGAGAGGTCCCTGGGAGGCGGGGAGGACAAGTACATCGGGACATGCGGAGACACGACCCGATGGCCAACGGGGGAGCAAGCAAGGCACAACCGTGGGCTGCTACAACAATCTTGCCACACAGACGCGACGGCGATTCCGTGCCGACAGGCTGCGAACACGCATAGAAGAGCAAGGCTCCCTCCTGGGGTAAAGGGCACTGATGCCGCTAACCCCCAGACCTCCCTCGGGGCGCGTTAAAACCAGAGCTTCAAGGAGAATCCAACCGTGGCGACGAGGGGTCAGCAGCGCTATCTATATATGTCCTTCTCTGGCCTCCTCCCTGCTCCTTTCTCCCAGGTCCTGCACCTTTTCTCCCGACGCTGTGAAACGAGGGCATGATCGTAACAGTTCGGGAATCTGTGAGATCGGGCGCCGGGGCCGTCTCTGAGCGTTCCTGAACGCTCTGAGGGAACGCTTTGGACGACTTACCCTGATCTTAGGCCCGCTTGGGGCTGGCCCTGGGCCACATGACGTGACCCACGGCAGGCCTGACCAGGCATCAGCACCGCCGCCCCTCGACGAGCTCCAGCCGCCCCCGACCTCCGAGAACAACAGGGCCGAGGAGAACGTTTCCAAAGTCCGCCAAGGCCTTCCAAAGCTGGGGGCAACGTCCCTGCGCACTCCCATCACGCTGACATCCTCGGGTCGCGAGAAAATCACAGCCGAAGGTGTGTGGACAATTCTCGGCCTCCGAGGGGCGAGCGCACAATCGATCACACATTGATCGCACACCAAGCTGACTCGGGAGAGACTTGCGGGGATGGGGCAAGAACCTCCGTCGGCCCTCGCCCTCAGCGTGCCCCCCGCGCTTCGCTCACATGACGAGGTGCAGCGCCGAGTATTCGGCCATCTCGAGAGTGACGGCACTCTGCGTCGCGCCGAGCCGCGTCACTGGCAGCCACTCGGGCGCCACCTGCGCCGCCGCGTGGAGCGCCGCCTCCTGCGCCGTGTTGATGTACTGCGGCGACCCCCACGACTGCCACAGCGCCTGGGGGTTGGCGTGCGTGGCGTCGATGCGCACGGCGCGCGCCTTCGTGCCGACGGCGGCGTCGGCCGCGTGGGTCACGACGACGACGACGACTTTTTGTGCCTTTGGGCCGTCGCCGACGCTGCGGCGGCCACGCTCGAACTTCACGTCCTCCTCCGTTGCGTCTTGCTCGACGGTGGCGCTGGCGCGGCGGCCGAGCGGCGGCTGCTCGCCACTGCCGTGGCAATCGGCATTGCAAAGCGCCTCGTCCGTGAAGGCGCCGCTGGGGTCCTTGACGCACAGCGCGCTCTCCTTGCTGCAGCTGAAGCGCTCAGCGTCGACGCGGTGCCAGTTGGCCACGTACGCCTGCACGCCTAGCGCGCCGCCGCCGCCGTCTGTCGCGAACACCGAGACCGAACTGGTGGGGTCCACTCCCGCCACTGGATAGCGCTTCGTTCCCGCGCCGGCAAGCGCCTCGAAGGCGCGCCAGACGGGCTTGCGCACGCCCTGGACTGTCATCATCCCGTAGCCGTTGTGGAAGGGAGCCGAACGCAGCCACCCCTCCTCGAACACGTCGGAGAAGGTCCACCACGAGAACGCGTCGAGCGCCTGCACGAGGCCCACCGTGCGAAAGACGAACGCGGCGGCCGAGCTGTCGTCGCGCGACGTGCTGCCAAGGCCATTGTTGTACTCGGTCAGCCAGAACGGCAGCCCCGCCATGTGCGCGTGCTGCTGCGCCGCAAGCACCTGGTCGGCGAAACAGTCGATGTGCCCCTTGGTCGCGACGCTCTGGCACTGCGGGTCGGTCGGGTAGTAGTGCGAGCTCACAAAGTCGACAGGTACGCGCATCGCCGATGCATTGGAGATGAACTGGGCCACGTCGAGAGTCTGCATCGTCGCGGGCCCGCCCACCTGGAGCGATGGGTCGACGGCCTTGAGCGCGCGCGCAGACGCGTTGTAAAGCGACATGTATGGCTCTGGGAACGTGACGCCCCACATCTCGTTCCAAACCTCGAACTTCCACGAGGCGACCTCTGCGAGCCCGAAGCGCCACACCAGGTGCGAGGCAAGCGCCTTGACGAGATCATACCAGTCGCCGAAATCATCGGGCGGCATGGTGATGCCCTTGTAACTTCCCGCGTTGTGGAAAGCGTAGTCGCACGCCGGCCTGGTCGTCTTGCTGTCGTGAGCGTCGTGGCACTTGGCGAGGGCCTTTGGCATGAAGCTGAGCTCAATAACTGGCTTCATTCCAAGCTCGACGAGGTAGCCGAGAACCTGATCGACATTGTAGAACTCCGGCGGCGCGCCGAGACTCGGGAGCACGCTCATGTCGTCGTCCAGCAGCCCGTGCCCGCGGATGCCCTTCATGCCCAGCTCGTCTCGAGCCAATTTGAGGTGCGCCCGCCAGTCGGCCCTTGTGCCAAGGAGCATGTGGCCAGAGCCGACGATCTCCTTCCAGTTGTGGACAAAGGGCGTCGTGGACGAGATGTCGATGGTGGCCGTGGTGGCGTTGGAGGCCGAGATGTCGACGGTGGCGCTGGGGGCCGTCGCCAGGCCGGCCCATGCTGCCAACGCGGCGAAAGCCATTGAACCAGACTTGGCTCCGCGCTCGGAGCGACATCAACAGTGTGCATGTCCGCGCGTACACGCATCGGAATTTCTGAGTCCACAGGACCGGTATTTATTCAACGGGATCGCCAGTCTACGGGCAGCGCCAGAAGCGCAGCATCCTGCTCCTCCTCCTCCTCCTCCTCCTCCTCCTCCTCCTCCTCCTCCTCTTCCTCCTCTTCCTCCTCCTCCTCCTCCGCGTTGGCCTCCTCCGGAGACCTCCAAATCTCCTCCTCCCAGATCCGGCTTCCCAGCTGAATCCGTCGACCCTCAGGCATGTGTGAGACGCTTTTCCATTTGAGTCGTCGTCGTCGACGTTGTCCTCGTCATCCTCGTCGTCAGTCCCAAAGAAATTGAAGAACAAGGAAGAAGAACGTCGTAGTCAAGTCGATTCGCTTCCCTTTATCCCTTCCCTGTCAGGGGGAGGGGAGTGGGAAAGGGAGGGGGGGGAAAGGGGGAGGGGAAGGTAGTGTAATGGGGGGGGGGGGTCCCAGATTAGAATACTGCCCGCCCCCTTGGGTCCCAGCGGGTCCGGGAGGGTGCCCAGAGCCAGAATACCCGTCCACCCACCCACCCAGGGTCCCAGGAGGTCCTGGGGGGGGGGTCCTGGATCAGAAAGCCGCTCCCCCTCCCCCCCGGGGTCCTGGCGGGCCCCAGGGGGGTCGCCAGCGGGGGGTCCCGGGGCAGGTCCCGCCGTCAGGGTCGGCGGCACCAGCCGCAAGGCCTTCGCAAGCGGCCAGGGGGAGGGAGGGAAGACTAAGCCTTCCCCTCTCCCACATACCACCCTCTGCGCGTGACTGAGCTGACCCTCTCGCCCGCCCCCGCACCAGCCCCAGGCGCCGACCCAAGGAAGCCCGCGCGGACCTCCGACAAAAGCTGCTGCCGAGGTGCCCCCGCTTCGAGGCGGCCTGCTCTCCGAGGGCCGCCGCTGGGCGGCCGAAAGCCACCTCCGGAGAGCACGCCGAAAACCTCCGATCTGGACGCCCGGGAAGGGTACGGGAAAAGTGGGCATGGTACCCAACAGTGACAATCGGCCCCAGCCAAAGCCCCAACCCCAACCAACAGAGAGCCCAAGAGGCTCCCAAGAGAACCCCAAGTAGGGCTCCAGAGCGCCAGCGTCGCCGTCGTCGTCACCGTCCCCCTTCAGAGCTGGCGGCAGCGGCCTTCCCAATCATCGCCCAAGCCCAGAAGCGGCCGCTATGGGGCCCAGGTGCCTCTTTTTGCCCAGCATGGGCCACGTCCGCGGCGGCGCCGACGGCGCATCCAATCCAAAAAGGGCTGGAACTGCTGCCGGTCTTAGTCGCCATTTTTCCCGCACCCGTTAATTACGATCGTACCAATCCGATGCGATGCGATGCGACCTGTGACCGTTGCGGACAGTGCCCAGGCCTGGCCCAGACCTGGAGGGTGAGGACGTAGCCTTGAGAATGCTCGCTTGGATGCACGCAGTGCGAGGCACACAAAACAGTCAGGAGGAAAGGAGGAGCCTTCGGAGAGCCTCGATCCGAAAGGACTTTCAAGGTCCCGCAGCGCCCTCCGCCCCGCCGCCGCCCGCGAGCCCGCCGCCAGCCCGTCGCGGGGGGGTGGGTGCGGCCGCCTGCGAGTCGCCGTCCGGCGAGCGCCGCACCGAGATGGGAAGGTCGCTGGCTGCGGCGCGCGGCGAGGAGCAGGTGGAACGCAGAAAGGCATACTGGGACAGCAGTCGGCCTGCTAGAATAGGAGCGTTGAATAAAACACCAAGCCCCTGTTTGGGAACAAAACAGCTTGGGTGCATGAGGAGGGCTAGAAGACCAATCACGGGATGACCTAAGGAACCGCGAGCCCTTTCCGAACCCAAAACGGTTCTTATTTCAACGTCTTAGCTGTATATAAACGACGAAGAGAAGCGGATCTTACGCGAGATGGTATGGCGACCTTGCGCGGTGGCTTACGCGGACCGCTGGCGAGGCCCGCTGCATTGGAGACGAGGGCACTCACGCGCGACCTTACGCGGGCAGCTTACGCGCCAATGTCGGCGAAGACGAACCCGATAGCCTTCGTCGTTAATGCGTGGATGTTGGAGGCGCACGTCCGATACGAACGTGCAGTGCACAAAGATTGTGGCAAATCGTTGCCCGAGCGGCAGGGCCAGAAGCCGCCCGCCACGGCGCTTATGCAACAAGATTTCTCGGCGAGCGCGTCGCTCACGCCAGATTCGCATTGCCGCGGCCAAGAGGGCTCTAAGCGTCCGAAGATGGTTCCGAGACGGCCCAAGAGGGCCAAAAGAGTCCCCAAGATCGTTCCCAGAGGCCTCCCGATAGAGCCCAGAGAGGTCAAAATCGTAGATGTTACGAAGGTTATTGCAGGACGTTGGCCTTCTCGCATTTTCGGCTTTCCGGCGCTTCAAGACGGCACAAGAAGCTCCGAAAACCGCCCCAAGACAGCCCAAGACGCCTCCAAGAGGGCCCCAAGAAGGGCCAAGAGGGTTGAAGGCATAGACCGCTCTCGCACCTCACTCGCACGCTTCTGGATGGTCTTCGCCACGCGCAGCACTTTGGACTTGCTCGGATCTTCGCCTTGGTCTCGCAACCTCTGCGCCACATCATGTAGAAAGTCCGTCTTCCCACTCTCCCAGGAGCTCGTCTTCCTCGAGAACTCGGCACTCGACATGGGATCTCGCGAGTCACTGGCCGACGCGCCGGCCATGGCAGCCACCGCGGCCGAGGCCAGGACCTCGTTCGCTCCTGCTGCTCCTCCTGCTCAGCGCGGTCCCCCACTGCCTCGTCGGCTCGCGAAGGTCGAGCCTCCGCCTCGGGCGCCTCGGGTCCGTCACCTTCAGCTCGGTCATCTTCGCCCTCTTCCTCGCGCGCCTCGGTCGCGCCTTCCATGCCCAGCTCCCCGTCGCAGACATCTCGAGCGGGACATTATCCACGATGTCCCGCCGCGGGGTCACACTTACTCGACAACCCCTCGCACGAGACGTAGATGGCCACCGGCTCGACTCCGATGGCGACAGCCGGCCCGTGCCAGGCCTTGAAGATCAAAGCAGGGCCCTCCCTCCGCTGGTTATTCTGCTTGTCCTCGCGGTAGAAGTAGACCACGTCGCCGAGCTTCACGTTCGCGCTTGGAGGAACCTCGCGGCCCCGAGCGACCAGAGCTCGCAGCAGTCGCTTTCTAGCACCACGCTTCTCCAGGGCGACCTTCGCCGCACTGTAGACCTGCCGCCGCTTCGCCACGCAAGGGTCGTTATCCACCGCGTCGCGCGACGCGAGCTGGGAGCGGCCACGCTCGCTCAGCAGTCCCCACGGCAGCGTCTGGGATCGCCCCACCACGAATTGTGCCGGCGAAAACCCGGACTCGTTGATCATCTGGTTCTTGGCCCATGTCATCGTCACAGCAGCGGCCGTTTTTTACAACTCGGTCTTAACGTCCGCCCCCGTAGCACTGACCCTCCAGAGCACCTTCCATTCACCGCCAGCTCGTTCCAACATACCATTCTTCCACGGCGCCTCCATCGCCGCGAACCAAACTTGCACGCCGCAGCACTCCAGCAGCCGGAACACCTCGCTGTAGAACTCGCCGCCACTGTCACATGCCAGCGAGTTGGGCACGCCAGCCCAGCTAAACCAGACCAGCTCCAGCGCCGGGGCTACGATGCCGGGATGCTTGCTCTTGATGGGCGCCACCACCTGGAAGCCCGCCTTGATGTCCCCGATGTCGAGCATCTCCAGCGCCGCGCCCGAGTTCGCGTGCACCGTCAACAGGTCGATCGCGCTTTGCTCGCCGAGCTCCTTCACCTTCTTGAGCCGCGCGGGAAACCTGGTGCGCCCAACGGCTTGTCTATTCATCTCGTGACACACCGGGCACAGCAACTGCACCGCTGCCGCGATGGCCTCGTCGCTTGCCCCACACGCGCGGAACGCCCGCACAAGCAGATCCTTCGACGGGCGCCTCAGGTTCTTGTGGATCCTGAGGACGACGGTCCTAAACTCCTTCGGTACCTTCGTCTCCGTCAGCGTCGCCAGATCCTCCTGGGGTTCTTCTACGGCCGGCAAGTCCACGAATCCCCGATCATCCACCTCCTCTGGGTCCGCCTCGGCGTCCCCCTCGGCAGCGAGCATCTCCTCTGTACCGAACAAATTCAGCATACCCTTCACGATGGCCCTTGCCAGCTCCGAAGTGTAGTGGCCCGTCCGCGCAATCGCGCTCGGGCCCCCCATGACGAAGTCGTGCTCGTGCGATTGGTCGCATTGCCGGTCGATGTCCACATGCGGCTCCTCATGTGACCCCAGAAACCTCGTTGGCTTCCGATGTGCTCCTTCACGCTCTGAGGTGAGCCCGTGCATGCACTGGTCCACCTCCGTGGCGTAGCCCTGCTTGATGAGCTCTTTAAGCTCTGGCTAACCCCAGACTCGAGACCACCTCGGGTTCTCGATCAACCAAGCACCTCCATGACCTTTCACGACCTTCGCCTCCTCCCTCGCAAACGTGAAAAAAAAAATATCGATCTTGTCGCTCTTGAACTTTGGCCTGGCCCTCCAGGAAGTAAGTCGGGTTACTCCAGGGGCTGCGAGGGAAAACCATCAGCACCAACTTCGGTTTCTTCGTCATGATGTCCTGCATCACCTCGCGGCGCTTCTTGGGCGACCACATGTTGTCGCCAAACTCCAGCGAGTAGCTCCTCATGGTCGGGAGCCCCTGCCTTGCCGCCTCCTCGCGCACCGCCTCCTTCGTCGTCAACACCTCTGCGATCCACGGATGCGCCCCAATCATCTCGCTGACCGCCGCCTCGCACTCGGCCCCCCGCGAGTCGAAGGCGGGCCCAACTCCGTCGAGCAGGCCTCGGGCTTGATGTTGATCACCTGCAGGTCGCGCTGCAGGGAGCGCAACTGGTCCTTCACTAGCGTCTCGGCACAGTTCTTCATCGTCTCCACCGTCGGGGCAAGGCCGACCCCGCCCGCAAAGTTCACCTCCTTCACGACCTTTCAGCGGCATCACACGCCCACCATTGCGGCGCCGAACAGCCACCTCGACAGCGCCGGGGGCCCTCGAGCAGCAGGACGCGCTCGATAGTCGAATGGCGGCGGTCGCGTCGCCGCGCCGCCGGCCGCAGGGCATCTCGAAAACGACTGGGCTTGCACGAACCGCACCTCGTCGCGCGCGCAGGCCGCGTCCTTCAGCGCAGGCATCGCCATCAGCTCCGGGCCGCCGCCCGTCGGAACCTCGAGGTCGCGGACGCAGTCCACCAGCTTGCTCTTGTTCTTGAGGCCCAAGGGAGGCAACACTCGCATGCGCCCCCTCGTCGCACTCGATGCCAACGAGCTCGGCGCCCCCGGGGCCGGACTGCCCGCCGATCCAGCAGAGCCTGAGGCCCCCGGCGAAACGCGCTCACGAGCGCCTCACCTTCCTCCTGAGGCGTCCTCCGCCTCTGCTTCGCACCAGCCTCCATCAGTCGGTCGACTTGCAACTCGATGCCCATGTGCCCCGCTCGCGAGATATCCAGCACCTCGGCCATGTCCCCCAGCACGTCCGGGGGAACACGGAACAGCTGGTCTCGATCACAGAGCAGCGGCCGGTCCTCCGACGAAGTCGGCCTCGGCCTCTCAGGCTCCAACCCCAGTAGAGCCGGGTGGTCGTGTTCCTCGGGGGGTCGAGAAGCTCGAACACCTCCTCACTGTGCATCCCGTCGATCAACCGCAGCTCCTCTATGACATCGCCCGTATCCGTGCAGATCGTCTCGCGGGCCTTACCCAGCTTCCAGCAAGGCCCGTCGCGATTCGAGGACTTGACCGCCCTGGCGCGGCAGCCCTGGCGCCCCCACACCCCCATGCCGAAGACGTCTATCTCGCCGTCGAGCACGCCCCGGTTTCAACAGCCTGGAACGGCCCCCTCCTCAGCAGCCCGTCGGTCAGCTCCTCAAGCGGCCATCTCAGATCGCGCCGTCATCAGCGCCACTCGCACCTTAGACTTCACCCTGAACACCGCCTCGGTAGTCGGGGGCCCCGACGGGGGCCTCCAACTGTCGCGGGGGAAGATCGGCATTGAGTAGTGTCCACCGTCCGTCTCGTTCAAGCGCATCGGCGCGATGCCAAGCTCGTCTGACTCGAACAGATCCTCCGAAGTTGACGTCCGCGCCCATGCCCCCGAGCGCGCCCTTGCCGATGAGCAGCTGCAGCACCGAGCCCTCGACGACCGAGAGGGCCAGGTAGGCGTCGACCCCGCAGACCGACACCAGCACCGCCCAGCGCTCCTTGGACATCTGCTTCTGGCCGTTCCCGAACCTGAACACGGCGAGCTGGGGCCCCCTCTCGATGTGGCCATCGATGCCCAGCCCCTCGCAGCGATCCTCGATCCTGTTGGCATAGGCGTCCCCCGACACTGTGCCGTTGCAAGCCGAGCCCAGCGCCCCGTCATCACCTTGACCGCCGATGGGCGCAGACGACAGCAAGACCCCTTGGATCCCTCGCTCGTCGCTAGGCCCACCTGGCGGCACCGGAGTCGCGACGGAAGGATCGGGGCGCAGCCTGCAGCCAAGACCCGGCCCATTCGCCGACCCTGCGCCATGGTCGACGAAAGAATGCGGGGCACCACTCCCACAGCCAGGAATCAGGCCATCTGCCAATCCTCCGCTACCAGCAGAATGCGGGGCACCACTCCCGCACCCGAGC